CACGTTAGGGTTTCAGAGGCTAATACATGGAGCTCTGGAGAGAGTCACAGACACTTGGAGAGCTCCAGACTGCCCCTTGAGAGTATCTGAAACTTCCCATCCTGTTTTCTTAGGGCAGAAGCAATTAACTTCCCTATAGGGATCATGCTAGTTATAACATTTTAAAAATCTTTGTTATTTAGAACTGATATATTTTTTTAAAAAATCCATTAAAATTGTGCATAATAATGAGTATCATGAGATGTTTCTTTTTAAAAAAATACATTTTATTGTAAAAATATTGTACAGAGGGGTTATAGTAACCTGAGCAAAGTAAGGAGTACATTTCCTATCAAGCAGTTACCTCCTCCTTTGTTTTTCCCCTACCATCCCTTCCCTCCCACCTCCACAACTACACTCCCCCCCACCTAAATTGTAAAGTTTGTTTTTCAATATATTGTCTTATGTATCTCATTGTTACAATGGGTCAACCTGTATCCCTGTTTAAGCATTTTGTTTTTTCCCTTCCCCTCCCCAAATTAGAGAAGTGTATATACAAGATGCAGGGCACCAACATCAAATACAGTGAAAATGGATTATACCATGGGGGAGGAACATACAAAGAAACAAAAAAAATCAAATGCTACAGTATGATTTGTTAGAAACAATAGCAAGAAAAACCACTGTGTCCCTATCTAGGGGTTCATTTCTGTTAACATCATCTTATCTGTAAATAGCTTTTGACCTTTTCTGCTTTGCCATGAGATGTTTCAATGCAGGTACACATTGTGTCCAGTTTGGGTTGAAATCATTTTTCATTTCTTGATGATAACATCTTTCAAAGTCCTTTTCCTCTAGCTTTGAAATCTATCAAGAATGGCTGGGAAGGTGGCTCAGTGGTAGAGCGCTTGCCTTGCATGCATGAGGCCCTGGGTTCGATTCCTCAGCACCACCTAAGCAAAAAGAAATCTATCAAGAAAGTGGGTGGCCATTCATTTCTCCACATCCTCTAGGAAAGGAAGTTTAGTATCAGGATGGTTGCCTCATATTGTGAGGTTGAGCCATAGTTTTTACAAAACTAAGTGTGGTTGAGAGGTCTAGAATGCCTAGTTGAGAAAGGGTGGACCTGTGATGATTAATGATGAAGGGTAATTATAGTAGGTTTCTTTATAAAATTATAGTTGGAATTTCTTTAAGTAGTTGCACAAAGGGGTTACTATTCAACAAATCAGTTTATGAGTACACTGCATCTTTACCATTATCACCCCTTTTATCATTCTCCCCCATCCCACCCAATGCAACCGATCTTCCCAATTTTCCTCATCTCTACAGGATATTCATTGACTATTAGCATGGCATTCTCCACTCCACCTTTCTCTAGTTATTCCTTTGGTAATTGGGAGGCAATTGCAACTTTATGCCATCAGTCAATGGTGTTACTTGTGAACTGTCCCAATTAGACACATAAAGCAAAATAGGACTCAGAAGAAAGTAGGTGAGGGGGTTCAGTAGTATTATACAACCATTTATTTGTATACAACTACTGGGAATAGGGAGTCTTAAAACGAAGGATATTGGGGCTGGGAAGGTGGCTCAGTGGTAGAGCGCTTGCCTTGCATGCATGAGGCCCTGGGTTCGATTCCTCAGCACCACATAAGCAGAAAAGGCTGGAAATGGCGCTTTGGCTCAAGTGGCAGAGTGCTTGTCTTCAGCTGAAGAGCTGAGGGACAGCGCCCAGGCCCAGAGTTCAGGCCCCATGACCTAAGGATATTGATTCTTTTACTATTCTGGAAAACACAGCTACGAAATCGTCTTGCTGAATAGAAATTCGTGTGTTATCGGAACCATTGACTTGTCATAGTCTCAGAGGAACACGTTACGTCCCTTCCAACCTCTGTGGCTTGTGATGACCTAACTTTAGAGTTGATTCGACAGTCGCTTTGCCTACTCCACTTTTGTCCACTTTATAAGGACTCATGGAGTTGATTTGAAGACAGACAGGGATGATCACAAGTATTTCTCATGCTTAAGATCCTTCACCTAGTCATACCTTCCTAGTTGCTCTAGGCTACCCAGAGGAATATTAAAAGATTTCAAAAACCACCACAAGAATCTTTTGGGTGACATACTGCCAGCCATAGTGCAGCATAGTGATGCTATTTTACAGCATTTTAAAATATTTCTCTGACTCCAAAACATTCCCACACTAACCAAGACAATAGTTAGCGATACGTTCAGTGGGAGAAATTTTTAGCAACATACAGAAGTGAGTAAGCATTCTCTACAGTAAATAAACTCTTTTTATATCCACGACTGTTCCACAAGTACCAGCATAACCATCTTACATTCACACCCAAGGATCTTGATGCCTCCTGTTGCATGGTGATTACTGATGACACATAGAGCCACAGCCCTGTGGTTACATTTTGTGTAATCTCTGGAGATCATAATTAAATGCATAGATATACTCCATTGTATCATCTGTACCTTATGTTTAATTGTGACAAATACTGCCATGTATGTTCAACATGGAAATTGGAAATCTTTTCAGTTTCTTGTATAGTTCCAGTACATGAAGTAATTTTAAACTACAGTCAAATGATACCTCTAAGTACTAGCATAGTGAATTTCAGTTATGATTTTCTAAGTAGTATTTATTTGATGGTGCACCTGCCATTTTAGGAGACATTACTTCTAAGGGAATGTGTGACACCTCACCACTGTATGGTGAGGTTTTTTTTTTCCCCAGAAGGTCATTTTGTCTACATTAGGGAGTACGAGAATTGAGAGAAGCTATAAGAGGAAATTTTTTAAAGAATAAAATTATCAGGGTACTTTTCTAGCAGCTTTCTAGAACCTGTATCTCCTTCAATACATGTTGCAATCATGAATGACACAAAAGCCAATATGTTCATGCAACTGAAGCCAAAGCTTAATGATTGAATTCACTCATTTCACAAATCTACTGTGAAAGACATCTATTTGGGAAATAATTATAATATTAGTAAAAAGAAAACAAATGAAGTTATTGAGTTTAAAATTTACTTGGAAAGATAAATAAGAAATAAAAAAGAAATGCATAGTAGAGATGGATTTGCAGGTGTGAGTCTATAAAGGAGATTAAAGAAGGACTCTGTGACAGAATAACACTTCTCCAAAGACTTGGCTGGATTTAGGACATTTCTTACAGCGAAACACCAGTAAAACGTGGTAAGTATAGTCAGATTGAAAAGAAATGATATAGAAATCAGAGCGATTGGACTAAAGGACAAGGCTAGGAAAGTGACAACAAAGAGTTATACTTAATAAAGTATAAATACATGGTCTGCATTCAGAATGTCAATGCATAAAGGATCACAATAGGTCAATAGCTATGTGTATATATAAAATTATGCTTATCTATATCAACTCCAAGAAATGGAAACAGAGGTTTATTTTTTCTTTGTATGTGTGTGTACTGCTTGCAGTTCCTTCTTTTTTCTTTCTTTTTTTGTACTCCTTTGGTCTATTTCCCGTTGTCACCATTTTGGATTTCTGTACCCTTTTCATATTTAAGTATATCAGATTTGTGGAAGGGAAGGAGATCACAGAAATGGTCGGACAAATGCAACAGTTATACTCATTAGAGACTATGTTGGAAATGAACTTTGCATCTTGGGGGAAGGGAATCGTGGTGGGGAAATGGGAGAAAATGAGGAAGGGGTAACTTACTTATGCAAGTGTAACCCCTCTGTATATCACCTTTACAATGAAAAAGGATCTCAATGAATTTTCAAAAGGAAAAACATATAGCAAGATTGACTTTTCAGTGAAAAACTTAAAATAATCTGATAAGTTATAGTATCATCTAAAGGCAGTGAAAGTTGTCTATATCCAATTGTGCAGTAACTGGCTATTTGCCATCTTTACATGTTAACAGAATAACCGCCAAAGAAAATAGAAATATTAACTCATGTGAGGTGACAGATTTAGGCTCTTTCACTAAATCGTGGAGAGAAGCGGCACACACACACTCACTTAACAATACATCATGTTTCCTCAAACTACAACTCCTATAAGAGTGGGGGGATAAAAATGTTACAATACATTCTCATACTCCAAGTAAATGTGAAATGATAACTCTTAAATATTAGTGTTTTAAGGTTTTCCAGTGAAACATAATCATGAGGGGGTGCATAGCACAAGAAAGAAGATTTATTCTGGGTGTGATCTCTGGTGTTTAGGGAAGTCAAGAAGACTCACAAGCTTCCTGTCTAAAAGCTAGTATAATTCTTTCTGTCTTCCAAGACCTGAGAATTAAGGGTGAGTTATAACGAGTGTATGTCTTATAATCAGAGTATGTGAAAGCCAGCAACTCTGACATCCAAGACAGAAAAAAACCAGTTACCTCATTGGCTACTCTTTACCTTTTTGTTCTGCCAGGGTGATTCTCTAAAGGACTTGATGATTTCCATCCATACTGAGGAAGACTTATCCTTAGCAATTCTGCTGGTGATATAGAACACTCGAGGAAAAATCTTCACAGACACTAGTGTTTTTCCACTCGTATTTTTTATTAACGTTTCTCTTTCTTTTTTTTTACTGGATATCCCTCAATTCAGGCAAATTAACACATAAAAGTCACCTCCACAAATAGCCAAAATTCTTTTCATTTAGCAATTGTGCCACACTAATTGCTTGTCTTCATTAGATGTCTGTAAGCACTCCTCTTATGTACATTTACATTGACATGCGATAGAAAAAAATTATACAGATAATGCAGTAATACCATGATACACTTAGTAAGGTTTTCTGAAAAGATCATAGCTCATTGTAAATTAACTCTTCTGTTGCTTGACTAAATGCTACCACCCTTCTCCCAAGAAAACTAATAGGTAAAAACTGATAGGTAAAGGGTATGGAACTCATTGTAGATTTAAAGTATGACCTCAGGATATTTTTGAGAAGAAGATTCAGTCCGATATTGTTGATCAAATTATCAGGGGAGGCCGTCCAGATATTGTGGATCCCATAAATCAAGGTCAAACACACATGGAGTATTTGGCCTTGGAAATCATTTTTGTGAATGCATTCTTGACCTCCTTGTTCCTCAGGCTGTAGACCACAGGGTTGAGCATGGGGATGATCATGGTGTAAAACACAGATGAGATTTTGTCAGTGTCCATGGAATGACTGGAATTGGGCTGTAAGTACATGTAGATAAGAGTCCCATAGAAAATGGAGACAGCCGTGAAGTGAGAGGCGCAGGTGTAGATAGCCTTCTGATGTCCTGCAGCTGAGCGCATCTTTAGGATGGTGATAAAAATCATTGCGTAGGATATTAAGATTATTGTGAGAGCAACAAAGATATTGAAGCTGGCGAGATACAAAAGGACTAGATCATTGAAGTGTCTATCAGAGCAAGAGAGAACCATGACTGCTGGAAGGTCACAGAAAAAATGATGAATCACATTGGACTCACAGAAGGTCAGACTGAATGCATTCCCATTAAAAATGGAAGCGCTCAGAAAACCACATACATAGGAGCCTATGATCAGACCCAGACACATATTGGTTGTCATGGTGGTGGTATAATGGAGGGGCTTGCACACTGCTGCGTAGCGATCATAGGCCATGGAGGCCAACAGGTAATTTTCCACAGTAGCAAAGCCTGAAAAGAAGAACACCTGAGTAGCACAACCATTGTGGGAGATGACCTTGTCTGTAAAGAGGAGGCCAGCCATGACCTTTGGAGTGACAGCGGAAGAGTAGCAAAAGTCCACCAGAGAGAGATTACCAAGGAAGAAGTACATGGGGGTGTGGAGACGAGAGTCCAAGAGAATCAGGAGGATCATCCCCAGATTCCCAACCAGTGTGATGATGTAGACCATGAGGAAGGTGATAAAGAGGGGGACCTGCAGGTCTGGGTTACTGGTCAACCCCAGCAGGATGAACTCAGTCACTTCTGTTCTGTTCTCCATCAGTGTTACTAAGAATCCTAAAGCAATGAGGAAAAAGGAACAGGATGATAAAGATGGAAATTTTGAACTGACAATGTGTATCTTATTCCATAGTGGAAACAGTCTGAGTTCCCCCCCACCAAAAATGATACATAGGTTGAAAAACTAATTTTGCTGCCTTGATTGGAAATGTTTTCTTTTTATTTTATAACCAGTCTTTTGGTCCATGAGTAATTTTTGTTACATTTTGGATGTTGATAATGCTATTGATAGGGCTATTATTAGTAATGTAATTCTTTTCTTGCTGTTCTGTATAATTATATAGGTATGATTTCTTTTATCAGAAAAAAACAAGTAGGAATAAAATTCATGATAATCTATCTCCTTAAAACACAATATAACTTTATTTTTATGTTGAAAATGAACTGTACAACGTTAGGGGGAGGGAGGCATTAGGGAGGTGGGGAGGGAAGGGATGGCAGGGGAAAAACAAAGGAGGGAGTAACAATGCTTGAGAGGAAATATACTCATTACCTTACTCATGTAACTGTAACCCCTCTACAGTTTCTTTACAATAAAAATATATTAAAAAGAGTAAAACATGGAAATAAGTTTTCATACTGTTGAGTCTTCTGATTCTATATAGATCATCTACCCACTTTAAAATGTGATGTGTATGACAGAACATTTACTAAACGGATGAGCATGACATATGGAGTAAAATATATCTGCCAATTCCAAGTTGCTCATAGAATGAGCTGCAGACAATTTTGATCTCTGTTCATCGTTTCCTCTCACATAATGATTTTCATTGGTGCAGCCTTAATCTAAAGTACTAAACATAAAATACTGACTCGTGCATTCATATTTACACACACTATTATTATTTTCTGTCTCGGATTCATTGCAATCATTAACTCACAGTGTGGATTCCAACGTCTTATGGCTTATTTGAAATGCTACTGAATTTTACTTAGTTTACAATTAATGGTTTGTTTTCATTCAACTTCCATGTTTGAGCTATCACAGTAAACAGAACACTTGTTAGCTAGTCATTTTATCAGGTCATTTTATGTTTGCCTCTCTTGAGAGTGGAAATAAACAAGCAAGCAAGCAAAACCCTGTGATAGTGAAGTAAAACTTCTTTTAAACACTTCCAAGGTCTAACAATTTCTGAATGGCAGCTTAACCTTACCCTCACATTTCCATGCTTATTATGTTAACAGATGTAGCATTACTCTAAGCTATCAGGCGTTGTGTCAGACAGGTGTTGGGACTATTATCAATGAGATGAACTGTGGAGTGAGGGGGATGAATGAGCAGAGACATTGGTCAGAATGCCTAAACTACAGTAGCAATGGCAATCAGAGCCACCGCTGATCTCCTGGCATAATCACTGTCCACAGACCCTAAGCTAATTTCCCTCAGCCTTGTATTTTCATCTGCAAAATGAAAACACCTAAAGAGAGCTTTTGTGAGAGACAAATAGACTGCTTGGATTGAAGTAGATTCTGTGGCCCAGAGGTTTAGAGGTGGGTGAGCTTGAGATCTTACGTTCTGAGATCTGTGTTCTGCCTCCTGTAGTTCCATGGGAGTGAATCATCCCAAAATGCTTCCTTGAAACCCATAATTCAGACTGAGTTAGACAGGCCTTTGTTTTTTTAATCTAATTCTTTCTTTACTGTCATGCCATAGTCTCACCCCAAATAATAAGTGTTAAACATTCCCAGTTGTAAGCTGTCCTTCATTCACACATCTGTTAATGGTAGCAAGTTTCATGTTGTAAAAAGATTTAGCATATGAATCACTATAGTTCTTAGGACTAAGCTCACTGTGTTAGAAATATTTGAAAACATCTCTTTCTAATAGGAAAGAACTCATGTATTTTCAGTACCATAGAAGCTTACCTGTTTTCTAGTAGAGACAAAAAAGCGTTCCATCTAGAATGGTCAGTCTGAAACGGTAACATCAGGCATGAAATAACGCAGAAGTTCGATTAGAGGAGTTTCCTTTCAGGCAGGAGTCAAAACATTTCAACTTTTGCAAGGTAGGAAAATATGAAGGAAAGGATATCAGCCAGAATCAAGTTCTGACTCTGACTTCTTTGACATTGGAAGAATCACATAGCATCTTTATACATAAGAAAAGTGAGAAGAGGAGAAGTGGGGGAAAATGAAGACAAGAATCCAATGTATAACCTACAAAATTAAGCAGAGTGAGGGGAGGTGTGAGGAGGAGAGGTTTGGGTGAGTTGCAAAGGGTGACATTTCTCAAGATATATTGCATTCATCAACCGCTTTGTTAAATAACAACTCCTATGTCCAACTACTTAAAGAGAATAATAAAATTAGAAATAATAAACTTTAAAAATGATGATGACTTCTCTAACGTAATTCACAGACTGTAAATGATTAATAAGAAAGGTCTGTGAGGTGTTTCATGAACAGCTTATCATTTTCAAGTTAATGGATATGATTTCTATCTTTGTCTTCCCTGAGCATGCTTATAAGCTCATCAAAATCCTTTAGGTCAGTAGAAAGTCTGATAGATAATGCCCATTGGTGTTTGATGTACATGGTGCTCCTTTAAAAACAGTTGCATTTTGAATCCTAATGGGATTTCAGAGGCTGATATAGGGTAGCCTAGAGTGAAATAACAGAGACTTGAAGAGCTCTGGAGATTTCTCCTGTGAGGGTATCTAACAAGCCTCAGCCGGGTTACCTAGGGGAGAAACAAATAACCAGGGTTCAGGGAACAAGAGAGTTTCTACATTTTAAGTATTAACCATTAAATAAAAGACCAAATTTGAACCTAGAGTTACAATACTAAATTTTGCAATGTTCCCGTACAGATGTACAAATGCATAGTGTTCCAATTAGGTTTGTTCTCCATTCCTCCATTTGTTTAAAAACTTTCTTGGCATTTGTTAATATTTATTTCACATTCTAAACGATAACCTATTTTGAAGACAGTTCCACTTACTCATATGGATCGTTGGAAATGAATTCTGTGTTTTGATTTGTACTATTTGTCAAATTCATATATTAATTTCAATGTTTATGGTCTTTTTTCTTCATGCAATGTTGTGTCTTTTTCTGCAACCTTTTCAAGTCCCTTCATACATTATAGATGGCCTTTAATTCTCTCTCTTATCTGATTATCTGACTGGGACAAACAAAAACAGTAGTAAATAATGGTGGTAAAGATGAGTGTCCTTGTCGTGTTCCAGACATTAAAAGATGATTCTCATCTTTCCTCCATTCAAAGCAGTGTTAGCTGGTGGCCTTTTCTAGGTGATCTTTATTATATTGAGGTGTGATCTTTCTACAGTAATTTTAATTGTGAGTGACTACTGAACTTTAGACAAGAAGCAGATGGGGTTTGTCCTTTTTCACGTGGTATATCTTATTTACACACACACACACACACACACACACATGTTGGAAAACTCTCATACTCCTAGGATAAATCCCACTTAATCATGTGAGACGATCATAATCTAACTACTAAATTTGATTTCCTAGTATTTTCTTGAGGAGTTTTAATCCAAGGCTGTCAAAGAAAATTATCTGTAGCTAGATTTTTTCCTGTTGTTGTGTCCTTATTTAGTTTTTGTTATTAAAATAATTCTGATATTACAGAATGTGTTTGGGAGAGTTTATACTTCATTTTTATTTTTGAATAAAACAAAGAAAGCTAGTATTGCTTTAAATATTTTTCAGACTATACTAGTGAAGGTGTATAACCTAAGGAAAGGCTCCAAGACCAGAAAACATTTGAGTAAATGTATGAGCATTCCTCATTGGAAATACCAAGTTCAAAGGCCCTGAGGCATGAGTATGGTTTGAGTTATAAAGAAATATTGCAGATGTTGATGGGAATAAAGTCAATGAAAAGATTAAGGAGGTGATGATAGAGAATCCAGTTAAACTGAAGTGAAAATCAGTTTGCATCATTAACAACTTCAAAGCATTTGCAAAGAAAACAGATAGTACTTTCTTTCTGCATATACTATTTAAATACTCTAAAAATGGTAGCAATACACCAGTACCAGTAAACAAACTGTCCCTGCTCCATGCATCTGGTGATCTAGCTATTTTAAAGCTTGAAAATGTGAACATGTGCATATTAACATTATCAGTGTCTCAGAGAATCAAGAGGAAGTACACACAATGTGCCAGATTTCTGTATCTTTCATTAACATGTGGACAGAAGACATGCATGCATTCCTTTACATGTTTATCATGTTTTCTTCTCAAATTACAAGCCAGAGCAGAAGAAAAAGAGCTAGATTACATAACGCATAATTCTAGTACCAAGTGTAAATACCAAATTGTTCTAAAGCATTAGTTCATTCTCCCGGGTTCTCCACTTCAGAAGAATCAAAAAGATGTGCATAAGAGGGACTTATGGTGTGGATCAGACTGCTTGACAATGGAAGTCAAAGAATCCCACGATGCATTTGTTATCTTCAAGGTGGCTAACCATGTAGGCAAGTAGAGTAGTTCATTCTGTGATCAAAGACTTTATCATCATGGAGGTCAGGTGTGACTTGTCTAAGTCTTGGAGACTGAGTTCTTGAAAGCCAGTAACTCTGACATCTATGACAGGTGGATGTCTCCCTCACAGAATAGAAGATGGAGATTTTTCCCTTTCCTTAACTTTCTATGTTCTTCAGTGAGCCTTCACTGTGGCTATGCCCATTCAGATAGGGCAAAAATTCCCCTCAATATTTCTATTCATTCAAATATAATTCTCTTTTGGATACACTCTCAGAGCCATACACATAAAATTTTAATGGTATATCTTAACCTAATCAAGTTAAAACCTAAAAGTAACTATTACACATAACCATAATACATTTTATTCTGGAAAATCAGCAAAATGCATTTGTTTGAGTCTTGACAAGACATCTGCATGCACACCTGTCCATGAGATTTTTGCACACTTATTTGTGTACTTTTATAATTGACTGCAACCCAAGAATCAGCAGGAAAAATGCCTAATATACTCACATGGTT